TCTTCATCTGTGACCCTGATGGCTTCCCTCTTTGGTGCTCCCATTGCCAATCTATTAAAACAGACAGAGTCCACCACTCTGCAGAACTCGGCTACTGTGTAGACAAAATGGACCATATGTGCCACTGGCTTGGCACAGTCATTGGTCGTCGAAATATGCGCTTTTTCATGCTTCTACAACTCCATTTCTTCATGGCAATCATCATTGTTCTCTCATCAGTCCCAATATACATCCGCGACCTCTTCAAAACTCAATCCGTCGCACACCGTGTCCAAATCTGCGTCCTCATGGGAATTGCCGGCTTTTGGGCTATCCTCCTTATCCCATTTATGATTACAAATTGTCAATATGTCGTTGAAAATACAACCACTATTGAACGTCTACGTTACTACAAACGTAACCCTCAATACCCAATCTTTAACATTCGTATGCCCCCAAGTTTCACTGTACAACAATCCGGCATTCATCATCCCAATGGTATCCGCATTGTTTCACGATTAAGACTTGGAGATCCAAGGCCTTACGATACCGGTTCCCGCTGGGAAAATTGGAAAGAAACATTTGGCCCTTCACCTATTCGTTGGGTCTTACCTCTCCCATACTTAAAGTTTCAAAATCGGTCTTTGTCCTCTAACTTTGATACACGAGAAAAGGAGAAAAATAATAATAACAATAATAATAATGATAATAATAAATCAATCTTGGGTACTTATGGTACAACTAACAATCAATCATTACCACCACAATTACAATCACAATCACAATCATCAAAATTTACAGTTGCACATAACCCAAAACTTATTGAGTTAATGATAGACCGATTCCTCAAAGGTGAAGAGGGATTCTACGCCTATCCCTTTCTTCAAGGTTTACAAAATGACTCGTTGGATCAATCACAACACCCCAACTCGAGCATTACATCACCAGTAACCCCTGAAAATTCAACAACACAACCAACAACAACAACAACAACTTCAAGACGCCTGCAGGTATCTACCACGTCAATCCCGCATTCATCAACGACTGGAAGACCCCCTGAAGATGCTGATAGAAATCACCATGAATTAGAAGAAGAAGAAGAAGAAGAAGAAGAAAAAAAAAAAACTGCTATACAAACACCACCAACTCCAATTTATTCAACATCCCCTGATAGAAACTCACCCCTGGAGTCTTTGCAGCCCAAGGCATCAGACCTTGTGGACTCCTCCATACACACAGACACTGCCGCCTTAATACGATAATTATTCATACCATGCAGTGAAACCCAATAATGACGTTATGATTCCAATTTTTTTTTTTTCTAATTATTTTCTTTATTTTTTTTTTTTTTTTTTGCTGTAAAATTTGTATTTTAGTGTATATTATTATTATTTAAATCAATTTTTTTTTTTAATTTTTTTGTTCCCCTTATTTGGTCCACTTGGATGAATCCTTAGTCTTCATCTTCTTCTTCCCATTCCCATCATTCCCTGTGGCCTGACGTTTGCCCTTACCACTCGCACCAATTGTAATGTTGACCTTGGGAGGCACCGCAAACCCGTACGATTTCGCAACCTTGGCCAAATCCAGTTTATCAATCTGGTACACAGACTTGGTTGAATGACTGGCATACGCTTGCAGATATGACTTGTATCCCTCACGTGCAGATTGGTTAAGCCAAAAATTGGAACTGATCAGCTTTTCTAATTGTGGCTGCACATTAAACAGTCGTTTGGCTGGGAATTCATACTCATTAAGAGGAACCTTGGCAGCCTTAAGGTACCGCAGAAACCCAAGCTCCGATGGTGTCAAAAACATAAGACTCTTACCCTTTCCTCCAGATCCACGAGCTGTACGGCCCACACGGTGAATATAATCACGGGGATCATCTGGAGGGTCAAACTGGATAATCCAGTCAACTGCAGGAATGTCAAGACCACGAGCAGCAACATCTGTACAAATCAAAATACCATCCTTAGCATTGCAAAACTCGAAAAAGGTGTTGGTCCGCTTCTGCTGCTTCTGCTTGCCGTGTAAATCAAGAACTGGCAAGTCAATGTAATTGAGCAACTCACCATAATACTTGACACTGTTACATGAAGACAAAAACACAATAATCTTCTTGTGCTTGTATCGCTTCAAAAATGAAAATAAAACAAGAAATCGCTTGTCGCTATCGCATACAACGTAGCCTTGCTCCAACCCATCTGCCGTCGAAGTTTCCTTCTGTTCGTCAACATTGATGTACAGAGGACCCTTGCGCAGGGAAATGCGTGCCAGGTCTTCCACCTTGGTTGTCTGTGTTGCAGAAAACAGCATGGTCTGACGGTCTTCCTTTGGCAAAATGCTCACAATCTTCTTCATAGTCTCCTCAAAACCAATCGTCAAAATACGGTCTGCCTCATCCACAATCAGTGCCTTAAGATTCTTATAAATGAATCCCTCAGCATTCAGCAGGTGATCCAGCAGACGACCAGGAGTTGCCACAAGTAAGTTAACACCCTTGCGCAGTTTCTCCTTTTCTGCGTGAATCTTCTCACCACCAATAACCAAACCCACGGTTTGTGAGTGGTGCTCCATAAGTTCTCTTGCAACCTTAAAGATTTGGATTGCAAGTTCACGGGTCGGTGAAATCACAATAACACCAGTACCATTGCGTGGCTTAAACTTGAGCGAATGTAGTAGCTCAATCGCAGGAATCAAAAACGCAAGTGTCTTACCAGATCCTGTCTTGGCTGCACCCAAAACATCCCGACCTGCAAGTAACGGTGGAATCGTAGTAGCTTGAACTTTGGTCATTTTGGTAAATCCCATCTCCTTAATACCCTTCAGTGTAGGCTCAGAAAGCTTCAGGTCGGTAAAGTTCTCAGGCTCAGCAGTGCCAGCAGGTTCAGCGGTGTCCTCTTTCTCGGGAACTTCCTCCAGGTCAGATCCCTCACCTTCTTCTTCTTCTTCTTCTTCCTCTTTTTCCTCTTCCTCTTCTTCTTCCTCTTCCTCTTCCTCTTCCTCTTCCTCTTCCTCTTCCTCTTCCTCTTCCTCTTCCTCTTCCTCTTCCTCTTCCTCTTCCTCTTCCTCTTCTTCTTCATCCTTCTCTTCGTTCTTCTTGTTCATCTGAGCCTTAGCTTTCACTTTGGACTTGAAGCCAGAATTAGTCTCAGAAACATCCTCAGTACGCTCCAAAAGATCCTTAATGTCAGCCAAGTCTTCGTCAATCTCGTCTGCCAAGTCGTCGGTTTCCTTAACACCAGCAGTAGCCTTAGTAGAAACCTTCTTAGCAGAAGCTTTCTTCTCGACCTTGCTAACAACCTTTTTGCTCGCACTGGCCTTTCTCGGGGTAGCTTTTGCCATGATGTGTGGTAATTTTTTTTTTTGTATATGTAGGGTTGACGAGAAAAAAAAAAATTTAAGAAATTTCCAAAATGAAATTTTTTTTTTTTTATCGCGAAGAAAAAAAAAAAATTTTTTTAAGATCAGTCATGTGATCTAGTCGGTTTATTTTTTTTTTTTTTTTCACCACTCCCAAAATCAAAAAAAAAAAATAAAATAAAAAAATAAAAAAAATAAAAAAAAAAAATAAAAAAAATAAAAAAAATAAAAAAATGAACCTTTCAACATCTCCACCAAATGTAAAAAAAAACAAAACAATGTCCAACCAACAAAACCAGCAGCAACAGCAGCAGCAACAGCTTACACTTCCTAGAAGAAGCACCATTGTACCATCTTCTCAATCACTTTTTAATCAAAAGGCAGCTAGACGAAGATCTACTCTTGCTCCATCAACATTTAAATCTCGCCAGCTCACTCACCTCAATGTTCAACTAGCAAAACTTCAAGCAAACATGGCTGACATGGATAATGTTCTTCGAGTAACCGCCAAACAAGCAGAGTACATTCGTAAAATTGGCCTCATGCATGCTTCATTGTGCGTATAATTATTGTCATTTCATTTCTTTTTTATTTCATTTTATTTTATTTTATTTTATTTTACTAAACTATTTACTGACTTATATCTAGGTTCATGGCTGGCCACAAGTACTTCGAAATGGAGGCCATCAAGTCTCAACTTGAGGAAGAAGAGCGGCTACGGCAGGAACAAGAACAGATTGAACAAGAACTGCGTGAGCTTGGCGAGACAGGGTCTCTTGATTAACTACTGGAACACATCCTTCTTTTTCCATCTTTTAGATTCCTCTTCAAAGTCCATGTCAAAATTATCCAGCAAAGCCTCTTGAATGCGTGTACCATCTGCATACTTGTCAATGTTATCCAGCATCACTTTACCCTCATACCCTTGACGCCAACGATCAACCCAAAGCGCAGCTGCTCCAACTTCGTTAAAGCCGCCACCCTTTTGCTTTGGCTTAAGTTTCTTGATCCATACAGCATTGAGTAACTCGCGCACATTGTTAGTGGGACGCGACAGGTATTCACTGTAGAACTTGCCATCAGGAGACTGCAGGTTGAGGCGGTATAAAAGATAGTCTGCTTGAATAATTGGATCGATGATGGAAGTACGCATGGCGCCTGTTATAGCCAACGCAACCATGGCCTTTTCATCACTGACATAGGGTACAAACACACCAGGAGTATCATAAATAAAAATGCTTGGGTTTGAACTTATACGAATCTCATTGGAAATGCCTCGGGTTACACCTGCAAGACCACCAGTTTGTGCAGCTTTAGTTTCTATAGAGAGTTAGCAAAGGAAGGGGGAGAAAAAAAAATAAATAAATATGATAAAGACTTACTAATAGATGTACCAGCTGTGCGCAGATTATTGAGAAATGTACTCTTGCCTACATTGGGCATACCTGCAACCAGGATCTTAGCACCAAGAGGTGGTGGCGGGTCCATTCTATTAGCAAGAGCTTTTGCCACGCGCAAAACCTTGCGCACATCGCCCATGGAATTACAGTCCACAAGGACACCATTACGCTCCGGATGCCAGGCATCGACTTGAGCCTGAGTAAGAGGACTTAAATCACGTTTCGAATAAAGAACGACACGTGGGGTATTTTGACTAAAAACACGAGAGAAAAGCCCGTTTCGGGTGCTGAGCGGGGCTCGCGCATCACGGACCTCTACAAGCAGATCAACATCCTGAGAAAGAGCACGCATGCGTTGGAGCGCCACTCGGTGGTGACCCAAGAAGTTAGACTTTGTGACGTTGTATTTTGGGAATTCAAGCCGTGGTTTAAACACAGATGTCACCGTGGACGAGATTGTGGATGGAGATGGAGGTTTCATGATGTAGATGGTTTGGGTTGAGAAGAAGAAAAATAAAAACTAAATAAAAAATAAAAAAAAATTGGGGTTCAATTAAATTGGGAAAATTTTCAAACGTACTCAACTTAAGTCTACTATTTACCATACCCAACTCATAACCACACAAAATATGCCGTTGCTTATGATTACAGGGCACCCGTGCTCGGGGAAAACCACGGTTGCAACGAAACTGAAGGATGCTCTTGAAGAAAAGATAAAAGCTTCTGGGCTTGACATGAAAGTGGAGCTTGTGAATGACGAGCGGCTCAATATTGCAAAGGAAACATACCGAGAAGCCAAAACGGAGAAGGCTACACGCGGAGCACAAATGTCAGCGGTCAAGAAGCTTCTTGCACGCGACACGATTGTGATTCTGGACAACTTGACATACATCAAGGGGTTTCGGTATCAGTTGTTTTGCGAGGCCAAAGCAATCCGGACCAACTCATGTGTTGTGCAAGTTGGAGCACCTGTGGATTTATGTAAGGAATGGAACGCCCAAATGCTAGCAAAGGGAGAAAACGGTTGGGCGCCGGACTTATTTGATGCTCTTGTTTTTCGATACGAGGAGCCGAACGGAATGAGTCGCTGGGACTCGCCGTTATATGCTGTTTCATACGACGATACAACACTGCCTGTGGATGAAATTTGGGATACACTTGTGCTTCAAAGACCCAAACCACCAAACCAAGCTACGCTGCTCAAGGCAGCAACACCAACAAATTATTTGTTTGAATTGGATCGCATTACACAGGAAATTGTGACAGCTGTGTTAGAACTTCAAAAAGTAAACCCAGGTGGAGCAGTCAAGGTTAAGGAATACCCAGTCAAGGTTGAGCTGCCTTACAAACCTCTTTCTATTGCACAGCTACAGCGGATACGAAGGACGTATATTGCACTTAATAAGATGAAGAACGTGGAGACTTCAAGGGTTCCAATTATGTTTATAGAGTATTTGAACAAGAACTTTGAAAGAGATGATTAGATATTAAGAATACAGAGTGTTTATATATATAAAAAAATACAAGCAAGATAAAAAAGAAAAAGGGTGAATTATTTGGAAAAGCACTTTTTGAGACAGCAGGTAAGAATGTTGATAATAAGATCGACTGTCTCGTCCGACTGCTGCTGTTGTTGCTGTTGTTGATGGTAACCTCCTTGTTGCTGTTGCTGCTGATGTTGTTGCTGATACTGAGGTTGTTGCTGCTGCTGGTATGGGTGCTGCTGCTGCTGCTGCTGCTGCTGTGGAGAGTATCCGCCCTTAAGGTCCACGACGACGACGCCTGCGTTGCCCTCTTCGATGTGGTATTGGAGATTGTTTTTCTCACACATTTCAACCACAGCAGGTTTTAGTTTGGCAATATGGTCCTCCGAGTGAATACCCTTGCCGACGATTCTATGGAACAAGAAAAAAGTTAGAAAGATGTTTGAAAAAAACCCAATCAGTAATTGCAAACTTACACCTTAATGTGTGACTGGTTGCTGTTAATGGCTGTGCGAATTCGCTCGTCAAGATATCCTTGGGCCTCTGGAAAGATCCTGTTAGCATTGGTTATTTTCAATCTAATTTTTTAAACATACCCTTGACATAAAGTCCATGAAGATCAATTTCATCATCTGCGGAATCTGTATTATTTTCGCGAAAAACATACTATTGAAAGTTAGTACTAATAGTCTAACAATTTATTTAGAGATAGACCTTAATTTTTTTTTTTTTTTTTCACTTACGGCTGCAGCTTGTTGGTTGTATTCATCGCCTTTACGCGCATGTTCTTTGCTCTGGTCAGAAAGTTGCTTAGCTTCAGCCTTTTCACCACGTTCATAGGCCTGTTTTGATTGCTCAGCGAGGCTACTGCGTTTCTTGAATTCCTGGTCAGCCAGTTGTCGGAGATGCTTGTACTCGGTGTCGACCGAATGGTTGTAATCTCGTTCAAGAGATCCTATTAAATGTTAATAAACTTAAAAAAAAAATGAATTAAAAAGGATATAATAAAAACACTTACTCTCTCCCAAGGGAATCTCAACGTCCACAGCAGCCATGATTTTCTAAAATGATCTATTTTCACAAAATTGGAGGATGGATGTTTTGTTTTGGTTTTTTTACAAGTTTGAGGGGGAGGTAGGGAGACTTTTAATTTTTAAAGACAAAAAAAAAGAGAATTTTAAAAGTCGCGTCGTGAAAGGCTTTTGCAAATTTCTGGTGGAGCGCCGCCTGCCGTACGTCAATGCAGCAGGAACTTTAACGCCTTGGAAAAGACAACAATAATTATTATAATAAAAATAATAATACTGTTAACAGTAGTAGCAGCCCTAGCCCTATAAAAAGCTACCGTTGGTAAGTTGATCGTTACCATAAATAAAATTAAATTAAAAATAACAAAAGTTAAAAAGTTAAAAATTTAAAAATTTAAAGATGAAAATGTGTTATTTTAAAGTACATAAATTTAAAGTAAAAAAGAGGTCGTTACAGTTCGTCGCAGTTCTATTTCGTGAATGATAAATAAAAAAAAAGAGTAGTATAATCTCTATTATACACTCCCAAATTCGTTTACCACTTGTTCTCTATTCTTCAGTTAGTAACTAATCATCTCTAAAGTTATCTCCTAAATCCTCCTACTAACCTTGCTGGGTGGGCAAAAGACCAAAGCGCTTCTTCAAAGTGACTCTCTGGCGCGAGTACTTGTCATCGGGAGAGAACCGGGCAGGGTGGGCAGACTTGGTGATCTCACCGGCCTCGTTGATCTTCTTAAGGGTGTAGACACGCTTGCCCTCGTCGTTCAGATAGTACATCAAATGCATTTTAATATGTCGTGTATATGAGTTATATGTGTTTGAAAAAAAAAAAAAAAAAAAAAAAAAAAGTTTTAAGGGAAGAAGTTTTTTCATGATAAAAAAAATTTTTTTTTTCAAGGTTTGGTGGGCTCCAAAATTATTCACGTGACCTAAACTACACTTCTTTATCAAAAAATCAACAAAATCTTTAATCAGTAAACTCAAGAACCTGCTTCTTGCCTGCAAAGCCCTTGGTTGCATTGTCAAGAGCCTGCTTGAATACTTCCAGTTTGGCCTCGTCTGATGATGCATTGCTCCACACGTTGGGAGACACAGGAACATCCTTGAATTGGCCACTACGAATGTGATTAAGCATCTCTTCCACAGCCTTACCCTTGCCTTCGGGGTCTTTCTTGGTCCACGCAGAAAGCCAGTATCCGTGAGCGGAAACGTCCTTAAAAATAAATAGCGAAGTTGGAAGAATAACAGGCTGCTTAGACATGCCACCATATGTGACCAATTTGCCGCCATGTCCAAGTTGGCGTGCAACGCCGGTCGCAGACTTGCCGCCCACACAGTTGAACCCAAGCTTGATTGGCTTCCCCTGGGTCCACTCCTTAATTGTGGGCTTGAATGCCTTAGAATTTAGTTGCTCTTCAGTAATAACCTGGGTGGCACCAAGATCTTTGAGCTCAGCAATCAGCTCGTCTAGATTATCACGGCTGCGAACCACAGAAATGGAATTAAGTCCCCAGATGCGGCCGAGCTGGATAGCTGCACGGCCCACGCCAGAGTTGCCACCATTCTGGATGAACCAGTCGCCCTTTTTGAGGTCAACAAACTGGGTCAGCATCTGGTGCGCAGTGCATGGGTTAACGGAAATGGTTGCGGCTTGGGTGTGTGTGATTCCGTCGCGGTTAATAGGCGTCAAATCTCCAGGAGTCACAAGTGCATGTGATCTCCATGTACCAAAGTTGGGGAGCCTGGGGATGGCCCAATCACCAGCCTTGAAGTTCTTGATGTTGGAACCAACTTCGACAATCTCAAAAAGACCCTCATTGCCGCCGATTGCTGAAGGCTGCTCCGGTGTTAGCTCGGTGGTAAAAGCAGGCATTGACGGGTACACACCCTCAAGTTGGTTGATGTCAGCAGGATTAATTGGCGAAGCCAAAGTCTTGACAAGAATTTCATCAGGGCCAGGGCCATTCAATTCGTAGGAAACGAGCCTGAGAAAAAAGAGTTAGAGTATGATAGGATTAGAAAAAACAATCTTTGCTTACTTGACAACGTCTTTGGGGATACCAGTATTGGCAAAAGTGATGGCGGAGGCCTTGACGGAAAGGAACCGCAACAAGCCAAAAGAACCCCGAGAAGAAGAAGAAATTGGTCTAGTGAGAGACTGTCTCAGCAGTGAAAAGGACATTTTGTTTAATTGTAAAAGATATTGGTATTAAAAAAAAAAAAAAAAAAAGATTAGAAAAGAGGGATTATGTTTGACCGTATTGGCAAAAATAAAACAGATGGTTCTTCTTTTGTGTTTTTACTCGACCAACAACCCTAACATCTGTTAAATTTATGCGGGGTCCTGCCCCTCAGATAAAAAAAAAAAAGGAAAATTATGTAATGGGAATTATTAATTTATCACGTGGTTAATCGGAATTTTGGCATTTTTGGAATTTTTGGCATTTTAGCATTTTGTGTCCCAACCAAGGAATTTTTAAAATTTGTCCGTCCACGGATTTATTCAATCAATCAACCAAGCCAGCCAACCAACCATGAATCTCTAAAGAAAATCTCAAACCCGCGGTTGCTTTGGCTATATTAATGATCCTGAGATGATAGAAATAGTTAAACATTAATAAAATATCAGATAATACCGTTAAATGATCATCATAATAGTCCCTTCTGTTCGAGTCATATCAATACCCTCATTAATACATCCACTAATTGAAACCCAAAAACTCACTCAAAACCCATTTAATAAAAAAAAAACTACTTATATTTATATCAAAAAGAGTATTAAATGATTACTCCAATTATGCATTAAAAAAAAAAACATTTTACTGTATGCGAAGCCCATTGGGACGTTTTGGTTGTTTCTCAAGTGCTTCAAGCTCATCTAGACACACGTCCAATGCTTTCCACTTAAACATGAGCTGCCGCAAGTTTCTGTGTTCTTCATCTGCAAACAGAGTCCCTTCCAACACACGTCTTGCTTCACACACAAAGTCCTTTGCCGTCCGGATTTTGGATCGCTCACTTAGAGGTGGCAGCCGTGGCACATAATACCGGCTACTGATTCCAAGAAGACGGCCTCCCGCAGTCTTCTTCATGGCAGTCTCAACCTTATCCTTAGCACGTTGCTCGTACTTGCGCATCAGAGACCCTCCATTGTCACGATTCTCAAGCCGTCGACCAGTTTTACACGCGCTTCGACGAGCCAGGTGCAAAAAATGTTCAGTGTAGCAAGCCTCTACAGTCATCCGACTAATGCGTTCAGATGAATAGAGAACTGGTAGTGCTGGCTCAGATACAACTTTAGGTAAAGGTTCTGATTTTACTTCAAGTTCTGATTCATCTGATTGACTGAGAATGATTACAGCAGGGTCATTTTTAGGGATTTTAAGAGATTCCCAGGGTATTTTAAAAGCGACGCATACATATGGTCCCAGTCTCTTGTGTTCATTCCGAGTAAACTTCCCATTTTGTTCAATCTTTTTCTTGAGTTTTTTCTTTTGTTTTTCGTTGTTTTTTATTTCTCTTTTTGATTCTTTTATCAGTGACCGGATCATTGTAAATGCCGTATGGAGATATAATAGACGAGTAGTTGTTTGTGAAACTTTTAAAAATTATAATTCTATTAATGTGGTTTTCTTTTTCATTCTTTCATTTTTAGAGGAATTGAAGAGTCTTTAAATACTATCTTCTTTGAGGTTAAGATCCATCGATCCTTGTTTTTATGCGCTCTGGATTGATGAAAGGGTCTGTTGGGATCTCCATTTTTAGGAAAAAAGCATAGCAATGATTGTGGGGATTGAAAAAAAAAAAAATTGAATTGAATTGAATTGAACTGAATTGAGAGGAATTGATGAGGATATTGAATTTCTGCTTAGATCAACTATTTGGTTGCATTCATTAGGTGTTTTTAATCTATTTAAAGAAACTACCAGAATATTGTAAATGGATTCACAAGTAACGGAAAATTATGCATTTGCTTAAGATAGGATTACATTTTAAAAAAAAAAAAAAATTGGTAACGATCCATAGTAATAATCTAAGTAACTAGTTAATCATCTTTTTCTAAAACTGTAGTAAATCTGGTTTGTATCTGAATTGTTTTTAGGAATAGAATTAACTCTTTGTTAATAGAGGTTTTTACAATTTTTGGATCTTATTTTGGTTTTTTTTTAAATGTGCGAGATTTATAAAAATGATTTTTTGGTTGTGTCATTTTGCTGTGTGAAACCATAAGCCTAATCAAATATCATTAATCGGCTTGTTTTTTTTTTTTTTTTTTTTTTTTTTGTATTTAAAGATCTTGAATTTTAGATATTTTAATTCCCATGACTCTTTTATGAAAATTTCTTGTTGAAAAAAAAAAAAAAAAAACCTTGCGATCGTTCATATATATATATCCGACAATTTCAAGTGATAAGCCGCATGACACAAGTTCCGAGTATTAGAAAGAAGGGGGAAAAAAAATCTTACACTTTCTGTCATGTTCTGTTTCTTTATTCTTTATTTTTTTTTTTTAAATCATCAAATTAACGAAAAGTACAAAAGGAAAAAAAATATATACACAAATGGAATAATGGAGATTTTTTGGAGTAAAAAAAAATAGCTTCCTCTTATGGGTTCAGTCGTATGGAGGAGGGGAGACCTTGTCTTTCAGTCTAGCAGCATGATAGTTGATGGAAGACTTTCCAGCCTTGACCGTGGGCTATTATTAAGAGTTAGTATAAAATCCATTGAAAGAAAAATAAATGAATAAAAAAAAACTTACTCTAGTAGCCATGCAAATCTTGAGCTCTTGAGCAAAGTTGGCACAGGTAGGGGCATCGTGGCCGTTACTGGCCCAGCACGAAAGCAAGTTGGTGAGAGCAACGCTGCAGGGACCACCGGCAGTCTTTGCGGCAGTACTCTTGACGCGGAGCTTTGCAAGATGTTTCAGACGGGGCTGCTTGCTAGAGAGCGACGACATTGTTGGGTTGTGGAGAAAGAGGATGTGATTCTAAGGGAATTCAAATCCGGAATGTGTTGATGGTGGTGCGTTGAAAAAAAGTGAAAATTTTGGTGGTGAATGGTTGGTCTCCTGCACAAAAACTCAAGTTACCCTGATGCTATGAAGTTTTGGGGGGGGGGGGGATATTATATTACAAGACAATTTTTTGTTGTTGTTGCAAATTTATGTTACAATTATATATTACATTTTTTCGGAGAAACCGGCGTTTGTGATTTTTTCAGGTCTGCACACGCCGCACTATGTCATGCCGCTCCGGTTTTCGGTTTCCAGCACCGCCGTGCATTTATTCATAATCAGCAGCCCCGGCAGCACAACCTCAAAGACATGGTCATTAATAATAATAATAACAACAACAACAATAATAGCGATCTCAAGTCCCGAGTTCCGGATGGTTTCGATGTGTTGTATGTGGTTGAATAAATTGTTTGTGTGTGTTTGATGTATCTAAGATCTAAGAGCATCTCACACTTGCCATAATTTCAATAATAATAATAATAATAATAATAATAATAATAATGTCTTTGCTACCCGGCTGGATCCGGCTGGTCCTGTTAAATACCTCGCGCTGACACGCACACACACATTGATGGTTGTTGTTATTGTTGGTCTTTCCAACGTGGTGGCTCTGAGCGCTCAGCTGGTAAAAGCCTTTTTTGTTTCTTTTTTGTTTCTTTTTGAGTCCTTCAAAGCTGCTTCAACTTTTTTTTTTTTTTGCTGCCTGCCTGTCTGCCTTCCTGCCTGGATTTATTTATTTATTTTATTTATTTTATTTTTTATTTTTTATTTTTTCCATACTCACACCAAAATAAAAATAAAAAATAAATAATAAATAATAAAAAATAAAAAAAAAAAATTTACAAAATCCAAACTTTCCTACCCGTTTCTGGTTTTCTCCTTTACCATCCACTTTGTTGCCTTTTTTCTTAACCATCAAAACAAACAACAAACAAACAAACCACGTTTAATTTAAATTTTATTTAATTTATTATAATTTATTATTATAATTTAATACCCACCATCACCAGAACCCCCAAAGGCACACACACTATAACACCTTTCCTTGGTTGTTCATTATATGCCACTGATAACTCTCTAATTTCTAATCTCTAATTTTGAATTTTTAATTTCTAATTTCTAATTTCTAATTTCTAATTTCTAATTAATACCTCCAAGACTATATACCTCCCATGAGCTCCTCTTCGTCTGCCGCTGTACCGGCCCCGGTCCCCACCCCGGCTTCTGCCGGCCCTGAGGTACCCACCCAACCATCGGACTTGCCAGACCCTGTCCCCCACGAGTCCCGGTCACGGGATTTCTCCCCCCACCGCGCTTTTAAGAGACCACGTCTCATGGATAGCATTACCACATCTTCATCTGCTCTACCATCAGTGGTTCAATCTCCAGCTGATTCTAACGGCTCTTCTTCTTCTTCTTCTTCTTCTTCTTCCTCTACTCCTGATTCCCGTACAAAGGCTCTTGTCGCTGAACTAACGCGTCAATACTTTGGCTCTAAAAAATTGGATTCCCATCTGCCTATCCCGGCCTTTAATTTCTCACCCAAGGCTCCGGCTGATAGCGCCAATAGCAGCTCGTCCTCCTTGTCTTATTCTTCCTCAACCTCTCTGGACAGCTCTGACCTTTCTGATATATCTTCAGATACAATCACTACAGCCACAGCCATTCTCAAAGACCCGCCACCTGTTATTTCTTCCTTCAAAGTGGTTCGCATCCGGGCGCCGCAAAACAAGCATATTATTGAGACTGGAGAACCAAACTTTGTCAAAATCTTTGATGCCCCACTAGAGGAAACCTCAGTAGCCCCTCCACAGCCGCACAAGCGCAAGCCCCGGACAAACTCGGAGGGGTATATTTCTGTGCCAGCTATTTTAAACACCATTTCAGAACGACTTAAAAAGTCACAAAATAGCGAAGCTGAACAAGAAGATGGAGATGATGATGAAAATGATCAGGAAGATGAACAGGAAGAAGATGATGATGAGGAAGAAGAAACCAATAATGAAGAAGAAGAGGAACAAGAGAATGAGGAGGAAGAGGAGGAGGATGATGAAGAAGAGGATGAAGATGAAGAGTTCTTTTCATACGACCCCAAAGTCGATATGGGCCACGACGCTCTGCTGGAGTACATGCAAAATCAACTTAATAATGGCAACCCAGTAGACAAGGCTACTCTTCGTGTTGAAGTCTCTGATAAACTGGCGCGTGAGCTAAAGATGTTTTTATGGATGAATGGCCCATACTCTTTTATTCAAAAATATGTCAACTCTCCTCTCAGCAAAGCAACATTGGGAGAAATTTTAGCATCGTTATCGTTCCCCCTCCCAGAAAGCCTTGTCACGCGAACACGCCGCGAACTATTAACTAGCCTTGTCATTCTGGCAGTCCAATACACAGTGATGCCGCGCAAGCGCTTATTTAAGGACTTGACAATCAAATCTCTAGTCGACATTATCGACAAGGCCCAAAACATTATTGTTCTGACAGGTGCTGGCATCTCTACTAGTTTGGGCATTCCAGATTTCCGATCCAAGTCTGGTCTTTACAACAAGCTGGCATACCTGGGGCTGTCGGACCCTCAGGAGGTCTTTGACCTGGGCATTTTCCGCCAAGACCCTTCCATCTTTTACTCAATTGCAAAGGAGATTTTACCTGTAACCACTCGCTTTTCGCCAACGCACGCATTCATTAAGCTGCTCCAGGACAAGGGGAAACTTCTTAGAAATTACACGCAGAACATTGATAATCTGGAACACTATGCAGGAATCCGTGCAGATAAGCTGGTACAGTGCCACGGGTCGTTTGCATCTGCCACCTGCCAAAGCTGTGGGTACCGTACCAAGGGCGAAAACCTATTTGAAGACATTCGCAACCAGATTGTGTCACGATGTCCAAAGTGTAAGAGCGCAGCAGCAGCGTCTCTCGCAGCGGAAAATAAGAAGAAGGGGGCCCAGCAAAAGGATTCTAAAAAGGGAGGCAATGGTAGCAGCAGATGGGTTGAAAAACCAGGCGATACAGATGATGATGACGATGAAGATGATGCCACTGGAACTAGCGTGACGGGAATCAACATTGGCAAGCGGGTATATGGGATTCTGGACCCACGCAACACTAGCAATGTTAAATACGAGCCCTACGCGCTGCCGGACCGTGGGACACGGAGCAACTCGCCCAACAGCTCTGGGGAAGGTACTACGCTGAACGTGACGGCAGCAATGCGCAGAAGCGCGACGTTTGGAGTGATGAAGCCGGACATTACGTTTTTCGGGGAGCCGCTACCGCACACGTTTGAGGACACGCTGATTGGCGGAGACGCTGACCGTTGCGACCTGTTGCTGTGCATGGGCACATCGTTGAAGGTGTCTCCAGTGAGTGAGACGGTGCGCATTGTGCCACCGTCAGTGGTGCAAGTATATGTATCCAAAACGATGATTACACACAATGAGTTTGATCTTACGTTACTTGGAGCGTGCGACGATGTGGTTGAGCACCTGTGCAACAAGTTACATTGGAAATTGGATCACCCAATGGCGGCTAGCATTGACTTTACGCCGTATATTGAGCGCAAGCTGGAGCTGGCGGCGTATGAGTTCCACGAACACCCAAAGGACGCGCCCAAGCTGGTGGAGACGGGAGCAAGTGAAGGCGACAAGAGTGAGGTGAAGGTTAAAAAGGAGCGCGATGTGCCGGTTACTCAGCGGTCTCTTGACAGTTACTTTTCAAGCAAATGAGTGATGAAGATGATGAAGTTTTAATGATGATTATGATTAGATAGAAGAGAAATATATTTATTTATATTTTTTTACAAAGAAAACATTTTTTTTTACGGAAATATAAAAAGATGGAAATAAAAAAAAAACTCCGGAAAACAATAGACCCCAAAAAGAAAAGAAAAAAAAAACATGAAAAATATCCAAGAAGTAAAAAAAAAAAAAAATTCAAATCAAATCCATCCCTCGATAGCACGCAAGGCATTGTGGAGGCGCCGCACGCCCTCGCGACGCTTATATCTATCTGCGGAGATGTCTGTTGACAGCTTGGCCAACGCGTCTACAAACTTTTCCAGCAGTAAGCGTTCAGCCGGCGGCATATCGAGCTCGTCCAGGCGCAACGTCACATCCGACAATTCCAGCAGCTGCTGGACTGTTTCACGGTTAAATGGCTGGCGAGATGTCGTGGCAGGAGCCCCGCTGCTATTGCCACTACCACCACCGTTACCATTACCGTTACCGTTACCGCCACCGCCACGAGATGAGGGCCCAGAGGAACCACCTACGCCGCCCGACTTGCGGCGCCCAGCAGCTGCCGCTGCCAAAGGTGTAGCCGTGGACCGGTGGATTGGTGCCGTGGGAGGGAGGGCTCCGAGCGACGAGATTCTCGAGCGTTGGCTCCGCGAGGCACGAGGTTCTGCACTGGCTCCTGCAGTGACTCCTGCTGTGGCAATGCCTACAGTAATGCCTGTGGTTGTGGTTGTTGTATTCCCAGAAATTGATCCGTCATGTGCCACGTACTCGTACGCTCCTGTGGGACTGTACTCATCATAAAAGTTGTACCTGCTGCCGCCAGCACTAGGCCCAAGAGTCACCGTATTGGTGACCCCGGCCACAGCTGGTGTTGTTGCCGTGGCTCCCGTCGTGCTGCTCGTTGCAGTGCTGCTGGGCGTGCTGCCTTCAAGTTCCGCGCGTCGCGGCTGCGAGCCCAGTGGGAAGTGCTCGGAGATGACGCGGTGTGGCGGTGGAATGGGTACCGTGCCCGTGACATGGCCCGCAGCTGCTGCTGCTGCTACTGCACTTTGCTGCGACGTGCGACTCGAGTTGAGACCGTCGTAATCGTAAGAGTGTTGCCGCAAGTTTCTGGAGACTTCCTTAGAACGACGGAAACTTGTATGTAGGGCCGACAAATCGGCAGCAGCTGCTGTAGACGCTGCAGCTGCAGCTGCCAAGGCTGTGGCCGAGGGAGACGATGACAAGGGTTCGGAAGGCATAGAGTCCGGGCGCATAGTATTTGTGGCTGAAGTATGATCAGCTCCAGACTCGTGAGAAGTCTGGGACTGGAGCTGAGGCGGAGGTGATGAGGAGGACAAAAACGTTTGATGAGACATTTGGCTAAGCCTGTTGAGCGCAGCCACAGGGAACACCTCTGCACCCGTTGAAGTTCTAAAGTCGCGGGTATGAAGCGGTTGCTGTTGTTGTTGTTGTTGTTGCTGCTGCTGCTGCTGATGCTGCTGATGCTGATGCTGCTGCTGCTGCTGCTGGTCATAATCCTCTGGCGCCTGGTGAGGTGCACCAGTAATTGTTGCCGTCACATCTGGAGAAGTGCGCGACGAAATCGGCTCCAGCCCTGACGATGAGGCATAAGTTCCAATCAAAGCCGAAGGAGGGGGTGGAGGCATAGAAGCAAGCAAAGGTGAAGACAATGTGCGCTTGTGTGTTTGGTGCGGCTGCAGTTGCTGTTGCTGGGTCTGCGCAGATGTTGCTGTGGTTGTTGTAGCAGTTGTGTAACTGGGCGATCCAGGGTCATGAGAGAAAGACGACGTATGGCGGTCCGAGGAGGATGAAGCAGGTCCAGTGGTAGGTCCAGCGGACGAAACAACAAGCGAGGAGCTAGTGGTGATGAGCGAAGAGGACCCATGAGAAATCAAAGGTGAGGATGTGGCAAAGACTGGAGTGGTTGCTTGGAAAGCAGGTCCAAGAACGGTACCAGACTCTCCACTAGTAGACACTGTACTACTGTTAGTGTTGTAAGGCCGAGATGTCGTTGTGTAGTACCCTCCTTGGCCAGTTCCACCGGTCCCGATTACAGTAGTGTCCTGCGTGATTTGAGGAGTTGCAATTGCAGAAGACACCTCGTAGCCGGTTTCAACAAACCCAGCGTGAGCAAGCATTTCGTCTGCAGTAGGGGTATTTCCAGGCCCAGTTTGAACGCCGGTGAGTCCTATACCAATTCCTGTAGAGCCAGCAGAGCTCAAGTTGGCGCGTGCACGAGAAAACGGGTAGGTTTGGGCAAGGGGGTCTGGAGAGTAACGGCCACCGCCACTTCCACCAGAGGCAGCACTGAAATAAGAGTCAACGTCACTTGCAGAAGTACTTGGACGCGAGGTTGACAAGGATGAAGAGCCACGCAAAAAGGGCATGACAGGGAACTCGAGATCATTAGATACTGGTGCCAATGTGGGGGTTACCGAAGAAATTTTGAGCGGAGAGGATGGTGCTGTACGGAAACTTGAAGCCGGAGAAGATGACCGAATTTCAGCAAGAGGAACACCACCTGCGTAGGGTGGGGGTGGTGCAAGTTTTGTCATTGCAGTTAAACCAAGTGCTGTAGGGGTTGTTGGAGAAGTTGATGAGGAGTCAGTGAGGCGTCCAATGTTAGGTGGGGGAGGCAATTGATCATAAGCCAACGAAGCGGGATCTCTAGCGTTCCCACTAGCTGGAGTATTTGAACTGCTGCTACTACTTGAGATTCCAATATCAGAGTTGAGGATGGCTGAGCTTGGTGTTGGGGCATCATTTTGAGGAGTAGCAAAGGACATAAATGCAGCGCCTGAAGACGACATATTAAGTCCCGGAGCGCTGCCAATAACACTAATGCTACTATTTGCTGCATGGCTTTGAATTTGTGTGCCAATACCTGTACCATTTTTATCACCTTGGTCTTCTCCACCCAAGGACTGTTCATTGAGCTGACTAGTTATAGGGGTGGTAGGGTTTTCATCATCATGATGCAACGCGTCAGGTTGGGCAAAACGAACGGGCAAAGAGTGGGAGCGTGCGTGTTGGGCGCGTAATTCAGTGGGGGAAGAAGGAAGTGGAACAGGTTTAGGAGGGAGAGGGTACTGGGGGACACTAAGAGGGGGTTTTGAGACAGGAATGACTGTCATACCAGCTGAAGAAGGCAAGGGAGGCATTGATTGGCGCTGGTAGGAGCGTTTGAGGGGGGCAATATTGCGGCGGGAAGGGATTGGATGGAGAATATCAGCTGAGGCAGAAGTAGAAGCAGAAGCTTCTGGGGGGAGCTGAGGGAGGTCTTTATTAAGGACGGTAGCTGGCAAGTTTTGGATGGCTGAAGCTCTAGTTGTTTGTGAAGGGATAACAGCAGCAGCAGCCTGTGCAGCAGCAATAGCAGCTTTGAGGGAGTTGCTTGAGGATGTTGGGGAGGTTTGGATTGGTATTTGGGCCATTGGGGTATAGAGGACAGTACCTGAGCGGGCAATATCAGAGGTTGAACTTTGGTTTGATGGGAAAGACGAGAGGAAAGAAATTGAAGATTGTTGAGACAATGGGGAGAATGCATCGGCAGCAGTAGTCATTTGTATCTGATCCTGGTCCTTTGTGGAGGATGGAGAAGAGATACCTCCAAGTAGCATGATGCGTTGGAATCGAATGTCGCCTAGAATGGATTCCATTTGGGAGGTTTGTTGACGAAGCTGAAGGAGGGCAGAAGTGTTTCTTTCGGTGCCTGGTTGCGGGAGAGAAAGTGAAGGTTTGGTCAGGGGGATAGCTTCATTAGAGAGACCTGAGGTTGTAGCAATGAGAGAGGACGAAAGGTCAGGGGATGAATAGTTTTGGGCACCATGTTGGAAAGGTGGGAGGATTCTAGGGCCAGTGACATGGAACAATGGGTCAGTTGCGGAAGTTGGATTTGATGGGGGGAACTGGAAGTATTCTGAGCGAGAGGATGTTGAGACAATGGAGATTTCTGTAGCCTTTTCAATGACTGGTGAATATTGTGAAATGAGTGAATGTCTTCCAGCAAGACTTGGGGCGATAGAATGTCTCTGAGCAGAGGCTGCGGTTGCAGAAGAAGAGGTTCGGGAATGTTCAGGTCTAAAAGCTGGTGCTGTTACTGGAGGTAAGACCTGGAAGTTTGATGATGATGATGAAAGGGCCTGAAGAGTTGATGGGGTTGAAGATTCTGAGTTTGGTAAGGGGTTCGCAGTTGCTGATGCACTTATAAAGTTTGTAGAGCTTGTAGAGCTTGCCAAAAGTGTATTATCGTTATCATGATGGTGATGATGATGATGATGATTATGATGATGAGAAGGGGGAGGGGCAATTGCGGAGGGTTCAAAAGCAGGTGGATTTGGTGAGTTTTCATTTTTAAAAGACAATGGAGGGGGTCTTTGACGGACGTTAATATCGACCGAAGATTGGATTGACGAAGACCCGGAGCTTCTTTGGCCAGGAGAGGTTGCCGGGTCCTGTAAGGATGAGGAATTTATGGACTGGGCCGGGTCCATGATAAGCTGGAGGTTGTTGATATTCTATATGAGAAAGAAAGAAAAAAAGAAGAAAAGATAATAAAAAAAATATGTAAATGTTAGTATAATAATTATTATTAGGATTATTATTATTATTAGAGGAATTGAAAGAGTATATTTGAAAAAAATTTTAAAAGAAGGGGGGGGTAGAATGGTAAGAAGAAAGAAAAGAAAGGGAAAAGAAAGGGAAAAAAAAAAAAAAAACGATTATCGAGACTTTTAAAAAAATAATTTTAATTTGTTTTTTTTTTTTTGTTAGATCGCAGGGCTGGTAAGTAAGTCAGGTTTTCTTTGGGGCTGGGCTGGGTTTTGCCATTTTTGGCAAAAAAAAAGGGTATTACTGTGCGGCTTTATATCCGCGTGGGGTTTCACGTGCGCCATGTGTGCAGCCAGCCCAGCCGCCACACGGCTGAAACTCTGCTTGCGGTGCTTCTCATAAACGCCGCCCACCGCTCAACCAGCCAGCCAGCCAGCCACTCGTTTGGATTTCTTTTTGTCGTACCAGCTGCAGCTGTTGTCTGGCCGTCTCCACGCCAACGCCCTCTGCCTCTCTTTCTGCCTCTGCTTGTGCTTCTGCTTCCAGCCCTAAACCTAACCTTAACCCTAACCCATTTGAAACAAAAGTCTACCACCCTTCTTTTAAACACACGGAATAGAAAACTCACCTTGGCCATCCTATCGGCACTGCTCCGCCGTTTCTTCCAAAAGCCCTCGGATCCTAAAGAAGAATAGGAAGAAGAAGAAGATGAAGAAGATGATGATGATGATGATGATGACGAAAATTTGGTCCATGACTTGGGCGACAATGTTGATTTTTGTAAAAAGTCTCGAAACCTGCGTTTATGCGGACGCTGCAAAGTCTCGTGGTCTGCATCAACCCTGTGACACTCGTGCTGCTCCTGCTGCTCCTGCGGCTGCTCTGACTGCTCTGGCACATGCACAGATTCTGCAACTAAACCTTGTCCACCCTCCTCTATTGTCTCCTCCAATGCCATTGTAGATCGCATCAGCTGTTGTTGTAACCGTAACCCTGGTGTAAAAGTACGGACCGGAAGACGCGGAGAAGTTGAAGGCGACGGTGAAGACAACGACGACGACGACGATGTAAAAGATACGGGATAGGATGAGCAGCTGTTGAACACCCGACGATTGCTAACTGTGTTACCGTCATCTAGTAGTAACTCAGGTGAAGGTGTCTCGCCTACTCGGATGAAACTTAGTTGACGCATTTCCGCAGTAGTAATGTTGTTACTGTTGTTACTGTTATTGTTACTGTTATTGTTACTGTTACTGTTGGGACTGTCTGTATCTCCAGTCCTAGTAGCAACAGTATTGTCACTGGTGGTTCCACTAAATGTACTGTAGCTGCTGCTATTCCTGCTGTTCCTGCTTCCAGGAGTTGTTCCAGCACATGTCGTAAACGTCCCTGCAACTGTCGCCGGCGTTGTCACCAAACCCGCTGCATTCTTACCGCCGCTAAAACCATCACCACCATTTTTGTCTGGCGTAACTGTACTCCCAACAATAATACAATCAGAATCTGGAGACCCCCTTGGAGTTATCGAGTACCGTTTAAGATCCAAAAATGATAAAAAATTGCTTGCACTGCTTATTCGAATTCTTGGAGGAGTTCCGACCATACTATTGCTTACACTTTTACTTCTTTGACGACTATTGTCTTCAACTCTTTTTCCCCCATGTATATCCATACTACTCCCACTGCTATGCGACCGTTTGTCTCGCTTCAAAGTCTTTGAGAAAAAATTTATAAATGATGCACTCTTGCTCCGTTTCTTGGGAACTTCCAGTGGCCCTCCAAATGGACCCCCATTTTGATTGTTGGAATAATGTTTGTAAGAAGAAGATGACGAAAACAACAGCGCCGGCGCTGTTTGGAATCCCGCACGAGTCATCGCCATTGTCTCCCGCGATAGAACTTGTAGCTGTGGTGTTTCCACATGAGGAGTCACTGTTTTCCGTGGTACCGGTGTAGCAGTGCCGCTGCCGCTGCCGCTGCTGCCGCTGCCGCTGCTGCTGCTGTTGCTGCTGCCATTCAAATTATTCTCTTGCTGTAGTTTTAATAGCTCCTCCTTCTCCTCCTGCTTCTGTTTTAATTGTCGCTCAAGTTTCTTTTGTTGCTCCTCCAACTTTTCTTGCTCTTGTTGCTGCTTGACACAACTTTCAACAGACAGCTGCGACAAGGACATGTTTTCTGCCAACTCAAAGCACCCTAAAATGCTAGACGATGACATTGTAGGTGCATATTCGTTCTGATAGTACCTACCATCTCCTTCCTCACTGCTATTTAAAGTCCATTGTTGGGGCCGAGGGGTTATAGTTCCATACGCTCCATTTTTGTACCTTAGGAAATCATCGTCAAACTCATTCCCGTCAAGCCCACTAGTATTGGACCCAGTTCCTCTCGAACCTATTCCTAGCCTTGACCCGGAATCTGATTCTGATCTAGACATATACCTAGACTCGATGTCTGACTTTGAAGCAGAACCTGGCGCCGCTGCTGCCGCTGCTGCCTCTGCTGACCCAGGAGCTGATACTAAAGAAATTGAGTTTGACCCTGACAATGTTGACCCCCCATAAGTCATTTCGCTAGCCTTGGCTTCCATGGTATTGAGTGTATGTTGACTATACTCTCGGTACAGTTCACTGCCCATTTTCCTTGGTGATGGAGAGAGCGGTTGCACACACGATACAATCACCGTTGTTTCCTGTTGCTGCTGCTGCTGCTGCTGCTGCTGTTGTTGCTGTTGTTGCTTGTCTATTATATGGTTCTTTGGGGGATTCAAAAAAGACTGAGAACGTTGATAATTAGATGGGAAACGGTCCAGTGGTGGAATAAAAGTTGTAAGTGAAGACTTGGGTATTTGGAAAGTAATGTTGGTGTTAAGCTCCGCAGGACTTGGAATGTAAATTGAAGATGATCTTGATCGACTTCTATTAGGTGTAACCAAAGGCATTTGCAAGCAGGCATGAGAAGAAGGTGGAGAGGAAGCAGATCGCTCAACACTTTTACTTTTAAAAGATTGGTTATTTTTGCTACGGTTGTCTTCTGGATTGTGAAGAGATACAGGGACCGGGAACTTGTACATTGGAAGTGAAGTATTTCTTTTTGGAGTGGATGGCCATGATTTGGTCATTTTAGGGGTTGATCCAAGCGAAAGACTAGGAGGTCCGCTGGCTCTTCGTGTTTTAGAAGCATGAGTTGAAAATGAAGAAATAGATGGAGAAGAAGATGATGATGATGATGAGGTCACAGCAGATTGTTTAAGAGATTGGTGTAAAGCTAGAATGGTATTAGAAACAGGATGTTTGAAGTCATCAGTAGGCGAATAGTATTCGATTGGTTCTATGGAGCGAGACCGTTGTCTTTTATGTTTCAAATAAGCTGGACTAAAGATGAAGAAATAATTGAAAAAAGTTAGCTTTTTTTTTATCATTATTGTTTTTATTTTTATTTTTATTATTTTTATTTTTATTATTATTATTTTTTTTTTTCCCAAAGATTAGGATCAAATACTTACCGTGACGACAAAGAATGGATGGCAGGAGCCTTTTCAGAGTTTGAATTGTTCATTTGGAAAGAAAGAAGCTTGTTGATATAATTATGAAAGAAATGCAACCAACGTAGAGAGAAAAGACCAAGAATAACAACAATAACAATAATAATAATAATAACAATTGAAAGGTCAAATATTCAGGGTCTTTTTTTTTCTTCTTCTTTTTCTTCTTCTTCTGCTCTTTATTATTAATATTATTTTAAGATAAGTTTTTTTTTATTGATATAATTATACACAAGAGAGAATGTTGAAAAAGTGGATTAAAAAAAAATAAATAAATGAAAAAAAAGGGAAAAAAGGAAAAAAAAAAAAAAAAAAAAGTTCCCTCTGTTTATAAAAAAAAAATTCTATTTTAATTCAAACGTTTCTTTTCTCATATATTTATAATACCAATTAGTAGGTGATTTTAATCTATTTTTTTTTTCATCCAATATTTCCCTAAAAAAATAAAAATAAATAATAAAAAAAAAACACCCAAAGGACCCACAGACTAAACAACAATTGGTGTATCAAAAAGTTTTTGGCTCAAAACAGATTGAGTTGCACACACAAATATATTTATATATTTATATACAAATACAAATACAAATACATACAAAAACCTCACTATTATTTTTGTTGTATTTTATAAAATATCTTATTAAATGCAATAATATACTTTAAGTTCTAACCATATATATATATATATAAATTTATATAAAAATATCACCTACTTCAGAATATTTCCCTTCTCAGTGGATCCGCTTAGTCTAAATGGGGAAATAAAAAAATAATATTTTTTTTGTTGATTTCTTCCATCTTTTTTTTTTTTTTATTTTTGTTCTCTCTCTCTATTGGATTTTCTTTGCAAAACTTGTCTCGTTGCACCTCGTCTTAAAACTTCTACTGAAGCCTTCTGTTACTGCAGATGGTTGTTGTTGAGCTTGGTTCATTTCATTTCATTTCATGTCATGTCATGTCATGTCATGTAGCCTTCTCATATCGTGGTGGCACCCGCAAGTAGAGGTAAAATAATTTTATTATTCAACCAAAAATTAAAATTATTATAAACCTTCTAAAAAAAAAAAAAAATTAAATAAAATCATCTTCACAAATATTATTTATATATATATATATTTACTTTTAGTATAATAATACTTTCAGAATTCTCCCACGATTCCTTGCAGATGTTTCTTCTTTACCCAACCTGGCATTTTGTTTATTTTCTTTAAAAATTTATATATATTTTTTTTTCTTTTTCTTTTTCTTTTTAAAACAAATTTGTTCCTTTTGTTCCTTTTGTTCCTTTTGTTCCTTTTGTTCCTTTTGTTCCTTTTGTTCCTTTTGTTCCTTTTGTTCCTTTTGTTCCTTTTGTTCCTTTTGTTCCATCTAATATATAATATATACAATATACAATTCTATCCCTCTACCGCATCTTACGCTCCATATCCTTCATATATTTAAGTATAGTTGCCTCTAACCTCTGCGCTTCCGCCTCAAACTGCCGAATGTCGCTCTCCAACCCAGCCCTCATGCTTGCCATCTCCTGCTCCGTCGCAAGTACTGCGTCCCGCAACCGTTTCATTTCTAAATCATTCACACTACGCTCTGCAACAAGTGTTGAATACTTATCATTAAGTCCTGCCATCTCCCGCTTCGCCTCCTCCTTCCGCCGAACAAGAGTCCCTTGAACCCGCTCAATCTTGTCTTGAGCTGCCCGCAACTGCCGCCCAACCATCTGAACCTCCCGATCAACCTCCCTCGCTGTAATCCCCCGCTGCTCTGCACGATCACTTAACCCACTAAGCTTCCGCCGTGATTCATCTTCCCGTTGTGACTCGCTAGCACACTCATGCAACATCCGCACACATTTGTCTAACTCCCCCCTAGCCGCCTTAATGGCCACAGCACCAAGCTCTAGTTCCCGCGTCCGTCGCTCAATCTTGTCAAGCTTTTCCCGTGTTTGAGCAAGCATCCCATTCAAATCTCGTAACACCTTGTGCTCTGTCTCCGGATTCGTAATTACATACGGCCGCAGTCGCTCCGTCTCAGCCTTGGCCTCTTCTGCCAAAAACCCATTATCATTAATGGCCGCCATCAGCGCCGTTTTCTTCTGCTTGTACTCCACATGTCCATCCGTATACTCCGTCTGCTTCTTGCTGTATCTTAACAATTCCGCTTCGGCTGTCGCTCGCTGCTCTTCCAACACCTTCATCTCATCCTCAAACTCTTCTCCATCCCGTTCTAGTTGCTCTATTTTTTCTTCTAGTTCCCCACGCCTCCCCATTTCATTTTGTAGTTCCTTAACTGTATCCTCATAGTCTCTTACTGCATCGTAGAATCCATTACAGTTGTGCACTCGGTACTTTGCGTAATTCACAACCGTAGACAAAACCCGCCGCACCCGCTCAGGCTCTGGTTTCACCACGTCCATAATACTAAAGTCGCTTACTCCAATTGACTGCATAAACCGGAAAAGAACGGGTTTATTGGCAAGCATAAGTTGTGCATCTGAAATGTCGTCAATCCCGCTGGCTCCACGAATAAAGATTTGTTGGTGCTCATCTTGCTCCACCGCATATTCGGCAGCAGCATGTAGTTGTGATATCGTAATGCTAATTCCTAATAGTTCTTGTAAGATTTGATTAAATAGATTCTGGATAAACTGTTGCCGTGGTTGCGCCAGATCTTCTGCTGTGACATTAATTTCGCACGCTTTTAAAGACTCGACAATTTCTGGAAGCGAATAAACTGGAAAGGTAAATCGACTATTTGCTGGTGCTAAAGAAAAGGAAGAAAAAAAAAAAAAATTAATAACTAAATCAATTAAAAAATTTTATTTAATGCTTTCACATACTCCTTCGGCCAGTTGAAGGCACCATAGATCGTCTGCCGCTGTACATGTTTATATTGGTTTATTTGGATGGTCGTTGCAGATTTCAAACGTTTTATTGTGATGTTTTTTATTTATTTATTTGTTTATTTATTTTTGTTGTTTTCTTTTTTAATGATTTATTTTATTATTTTAATTTAATTTAACTTAATTTAATTTAAAAAAGTGGCACGGCTGTTAATATCAAATGATTAGTCATGTTTATGTGATATCTTCTTAATCTTCTTCTTCTTCTTTTTTTTACTAACCTCAACAGCTTTCATTTTTTGTCATCCCCACCAAAAATCTTTCATCAGATCCTGAGCTTAGAACCAATCCATCTTTACTTGCTCTCTCCTACTTGTCCACATTACATCTTCATCCCCACCCCTTTCTACCCTTTAAACATGTCTCTTCTACGAACTTCCTTTGCTCGCCAGTTGCGCACCGCAAACTCTGCTCGCTTGTTCACCACAGCTGCCACTCCTCTTCTGCAATCCGCCAAACCCCCCACCTCTAAGATCGAGCTCAAGATTGAGCCTCTCCCACGTCCCGGTGAGAAGATTGAGACTAAGCGTGCACGGCTGCTTTACCAGTCTCGCAAGCGCGGTATTCTGGAAACAGATCTTTTGTTGTCCAAGTTTGCCCAACTTTACCTGGCAGAAATGACTATGGAAGAGCTCGAGGAGTACGACAAGTTGCTGGATGAACAGGACTGGGATATTTACTATTGGATTACTAAAAATGATGACATTAAGCCGTGCCCTGAGAGATGGAATAACAGTCCGCTTATGAAGAAGATTCGCGAAATGGTCGAGACTAAAGGTAACGAGTGCACCCGGATGCCTGACCTTTATTAAGCGCGGGAATAAGTAAACCGGATATGGTGGGAAATGTACATAATAATGATGATTAATATAAATGAAGAGATAAATATATATATAAAAAGAAAAACATTTACATGGTCACGATTAATGAATGAATAAATGAGGAATGATGCTCATGGGATTTACACTTGGAAATAGCTTTGGCAACTTTTGTGAATGATTTCAACTTATTTGCTCGTGGAAGATAAAAAAAAAAAATTATAAACTAATTAGATTAAAAGCATGTTTGAATAGATGAAAATCGCTCAGGTCCAAATGACCATTGATGAGAGTAAGTTTTTGTATATGGAGTACTATGAAACATACACAAAGTCTTGTCTTTTTTCTTTTCTTTTCTTTTCTTCCTGTATAAAAATTTTACATCATTGACAGGCACGAGGATTCATGTAGATCCATTGTATGGAACAATTAAATATTATTATGGTCATAAGTATAATAATAATAATAACAATAACAATTGAAGAAAAGAAATGAGTATTTTTTTTTTTTAAAAAAAAAAAAAGCTATTGTACAACCCCGGAATACTCTCAGGTGTGTATCGAAGACTGCGAGCGATATTTGTGTAGTAGAAGCAAGAAGGAAAGAGTTTAAAAAGTATCTAGATACAAAAAAAAAGGGGAGTATTTAGGCGATATGGATATTTCTTAACCATCAGGTATCGTAAAAAAAAAATAATGCTGTTTATTCTTTAAAAAGGTATTGCAAATATTTATCTAAAAATTCATTCATTCATCCATTTATTCATTCATCCATATATTTATTTACTGATAAAGGTTTTTGGCTGATAGTGCGATTATTAATGCATTTGGCCGTTGACGAAAATGAGATGAGAAGAAGACAAAAGTCAGACGGTTAACGTTTATTTTATATATCAAAAAAAAAAAAAAAAAAAAAAACACCACTTAACAAGAACGGTCCTTGTTTAAAAAAAAAAAAAAAAAAAACTAGCCTGACAAAAACTCTCTTTTTTGATTACTTCAAAACGTGGGCTGTTTTTTTTTTTTTTTTGAATTGAATTGAATCGAATTGAAATGTTCGTTCTAGGTACTACTTGAAATGTCGTTCGATATGAACAATAAGAATGTACAGACCAGATATATAAAAACATGTAAAAGTCCCTTTAACGATAATAATAATAACGCGTCTATCATTCTGTAAGTGGTATTATCATATTTAATCAGTATATACATATAGATACATATACACGACTTTGGGGGTGGTGGAATTGTATGAGAAAGCAGCTACCTCTCTTTAGAGTGTATACATTTTGTATCATCTGGAGAAAAGAAAGTTGTATTTGTGTGGGGGGGAGAGAGAGAAGAAGTGGAAAGAGGGAATCAAAAGGGATTGATGAAGTAAAAGATATATATTCTTCTTTAAGGTAATTACCTAAATAATCTATCCTGTTTATAAGCCCACAACCAAAAACTGCTGCTGCTGATGCTGCTGCTGCTGCCTTAAACCAATCCATTTGATAGTGGCTTTTTTTTTTTTTTTTTTTTTTTTTTTTTGACAATTCTAATCGAGCCACTAATCAATCAGCCAGCTCCTTCAAATGGGTCCTTTCTCCCACTCTCTCTTTCTTGATGTTTATCAGTGTCCGCCGCATCCGTAAGCCTTGCAATGCATAGAAGAAGCAGCCCTTCAATTACTTTCTCTCTTTCTTTCTCTCTCTCTCTCTCTCCCTCACCCAATCCCGCTTATTCGGGTTCCCGGGTCGTTGAGAGTGAAAAAAAAAAAGAGTTTGTATTTCATTCCATTTTGTTTTTTTAAATAGAATGTGTCCAGTAGTAACAACTACTCATATTCCTGGCTCTTGTACTAGTAGTAGTAGTAATATTAGTAGTTGTTAAGAATTCTTTTTTAGAAAAGAATTGTTAAAGATTTAATAACTTTACAACAATCTGTAAATCTATATGTCTTTATAGATCTTAAATACAATTGGTGGGAAAGAATTAAAAAAAAAAAAAAGATGGAGTAAATTAACCTCACAAATTTGTCTTGTTGACATTTTGACAGGTCGTTTTTGTTTAAATTCTTGTGTAAAAAAAACACCTCACAATAAAAAAAAAAAAAGCATACATCCGGTTATACCGTATTTCGTTTATATTTGACAGGTTCGTAAAAAAAAAAAAAAAGTAATAATAATAATAATAAGAAATAATGCGCTCTTCTTTGGTGGCAGAAGCGCTTTCGCAAAAAAAGATTGGTTGGACGTATCATATATATTAAATGGGAGACACACACAAGTACCGGATAGCGGTTAGTTGTATTGCCGTTAGGGATGGCCTTTATCGGCATGGAATTACTACTACCCAAACAAAAAATCTAAAAATTTTTACTTGTTTACTTGTTTATTTTATTCTCGTACAAAAATATAAATGTAAAAAAAAAAAATTAAAAAAATTAAAATATTTGAATATTTAACTTGTTATTAAAATATAAAATAAAATAGTTGTTAAAATGATTTTGAATATTCAAGTTTAACAAAAAAAAAAAAAGTATATTTCAAATTGAACTCCTTTATATTAAGATTAAATATAGATAATATATATATAAATTCAATTATTCCAAGACTTCGATTAAAGACCTAATTATTTCAACTTTGTTCTAGGCAGAAAAGCCTTTCTTGGAAGAAAAAAAAAAAAAAAAATTTTGATTTCTTCCCGTCAGGACTCCGGGCCGGACAAGCCGTTCAGTCAAAAGGGGGGAGGGTTAAGGAGAGGAAAGCAGGGAAGAACGAATTGAAGGGTTTTTTTTTTTTTTTTTTTTTTTTTAGTTTTACTGTCGTGCCTGATTTTAATTAATTGGTTTGAACGTGTTAAGGACTTTCACAAGCTCACAAATAAAGCAAACGGCTGTGCTTTACAAAAGGCTTGTGATTTATATGTGTATGTCAAATAGCTCTCATAAAATATATATTTAAATAAATATATTATTTAAGAAGAGTGAAAAAATCAAAAAAAGAACTTTTCAAGTCGGCAGCGGCAAGCCGTCCGGGTACAATTTTGCCGTATATAAAGTAACTTACATTTTATTACACAGGTCAAGTAAAAAAAAAAAAAAACAATTAAGTACAATATACTGTGCCGCGTCTCCCCGGATTTCAAAAATATTTTAAGTATGAGCTTAATGTCAAGAAGGTTAAGAAGGTTAAGAAGGTTAAGAAGGTTAAGAAGGTTGAAAAGGAATCGAGCTGGGGAAGATAAGTTGTTGATATTTGTTGATAAAGATACCAGAATAACAAATGATTCCTCCCCCACGGGGGAAACAGGTTGAAAGGGAATAAGAAGAGTAGGTCATTAAGATGTAGTTGTTGTGGTTTATTCGAAAAAAAAAGGTGTAGAACCTCGTTATCTTGAAAAAAAAAAAAAAATCATTGCAGGTAAAGCAGCCTGAAAATTTCATTTCCACATTTTTTTTTTCTAGTCAAGCAAACCAGCAAACCAGCCTTTCGAGAGTTATCTTTCTACATTTTTTTTTTTTTTTTTTTTGGATTGACAGTCTACAGTTCCTGGAACCAAGCCCTTTGTAGGAAACTTGCAGGAAGACATTTAAAAGAAAGGAAAAAAAAAAAAAAAAAAAAACAATGTAAAAAAACAAAAAAGCCACCGTTCAAGTTAGCCATGAACCAAGTCAACAAGTTTAGCAATATGATTTCAAAATAAGTGTTTTTTAATTTGAAACCAATAGTAATAAAATAAAAGTGTGTCAGAATAATAAGTATTATAATAGTAGTAATAATAATAATGCTAGTAAAAATAAAATTGTCACAAGTAAAAGTTGAGTATTTTTTTTATGGAGCATTTTTTCCAACAGTAACAGCTACAACAGCAGCAGTAGCAGCAGCAGTTACAGCAGTTACAGCAGCAGCAGTGCCAATATCACTTTGAACAATAAAAAAAAAAAAAACAATGGAGAGGAATGCTCGGAACAAACGGTACCATCGGAACCGTAAAAAAAAAAAAAAAAAAAGGGCAGACAGCAACTTTCCAGTTTCGGCACGGCTTCCCAAACAGGCAACCAGCCAGAAAAGTTTGACAGGCCCATCTTAGATATCTCAACCTGTATATAATCGATATATGGCAGATACAAACGGGAGAAGGTTCCTGTGGTGAATGAAATTTAGGCAGCAGCAGTATTAGCAGTAGACACTTTTCTGGTTGCACGTGCAACAGCAATAACAACACCAGCAGCAAAAGAAATAACAGCAAGATGGTAAAGAAGAAGGAAACCCGAACCAAACGGAACTTCTCTCGGGTAGTTCTTTTTAGAAATTAAGTTGTTTGTTTATTGAGCGTAGTTAAGGGAAACATGGTTCCTTCCGGGAATTCAGGGAATATATACAGTATTTTAAAATGTAAATAAAAATAATAATAAAAATAAACAAAACTAAGCCTGATCCTTGTGTGGGTCGTTTGAGTGTTAACCGTTAAGAGTTCAAAACTAGTTTCAATCGCAGGGTTCAACAATTCAAATCAAATCAAATCAAATCAAATCAAATCAAATCAAATCAAATCAAATCAAATCAAATCAAATCAAATCAAATCAAATCAAATTAAATTAAATTAAATTAAATTAAATTAAATTAAATTAATTTTTTTTTCACAAGCCAAATACTACTACTACTACTACTACAGATTAATGAAGTTTTTTTTTTTTTTTTTTTTTTCCTTTGACCGTTACGTCCTTTTATTTATTTTTTTTTTTTTCAAACAATCCCCTTAAAAAAATAAATAAAAGTCGTATGACAGTTTTAAGGGCTGGGATAAGATGGATATGGTAGTGCTACTATTAGTACTTACTACTACTACTACTACTACTACATATCAGTGACAAACAGACAAACAACTGGCCGTTATCGCCATCTTGACTATTTTCAACCGTCTTTTTCCATAAGGGAAACAATAGTAGTATTATTATTAAGAAAAAAAAAAAAAAAAAAAAAAAAAAGAATGACAGTTTGTAATAGC